AGCGGAAGCCACACACTGATTCTATGTGTCAGCTATTACAGCCTCATTTGACAACCACAGTGAGGTAGCCTGAAAATGAAGACAATACCCAAATGTTTTTTACTTAAGCCTTTGACGTTGATACTGTATCAGTACCAAGTGAGAAAATAACAAATACGAATGGGACAATCAGATAACATTGATCTCTTAAAAATATTGTTTGATTTTTGAAATAATTGTAGTATAGGGAAATTTAAAAGATAGTGCAACAAGGCCCTGTGTATCTCTCACCCGGTTTCCTCTAATGGTACCATCTTAACTAGAGCATATCATCAAAACCATGAAACTGACACTGCTGTATCCATATACTTGTCACTTTTATATGGGTGGGCACCTGAGGTTCTATACAATCTTATCATGTGAAGTTTTGTATATAAGTGCCCCCTCCCTGCAAATCAAGATTCAGAACTGTTTTCATCACCACAAATACCCCCTTTGCATACTACTTTATAATCACAGGCATCTATTCCCTGCATCCTGTTCCTAATCTCTTCCAAACACTGGCTGGTTTTCCACTATATAATTTTGTCATTTTGAAAATGCTATAGAAATGGAGTCACACAGTATATAAGCTTTTGAAACTGGCCTTTTCCATTTAGTTTGATTTCAGAGGTTTCTATTTTAAGGAACAGATGTTAATGGTTATGATTTTGGAATTGTCATGAGATAAAATGTTCATGCGGTGACCTTCTGAGATTCACCTAATGGCTAGTACTATTTCAGAACTACATTGGCATCTTTTTTATGGCATCTTTATGTCCTAAGAAGTCTTACCTGTAAACAGGAATGTGGGTTGAATGTTAACTAACCACTGCATAGTGGAATAGCTTAAGGCAAGTGTTCAAAGGTTACTTTTTGTGTAAACATAATAATGAAGGGGTGTGCCTCTTATCAGATAAACAAGTTTCAGGGGGGAATTTCTTAAGCAAACCAGAACAAAAACACAGGGAAAAAAATATAAACTAAAACTAAATTATCTAGAACTACCTTTTTAAAGTATAGAGAAATCTGCAGAGATTATCCTCTTTGGCACCAAGAAGACAGAATATTATGCATAAAGTGCTTATTCCAAAGTCATGTGGGTAACAGAAATTACAGAAGAACAAGTTTCTTCTATGTTATATAGACTATGGGAATACCTAAAATCTTGAACATAGGCTTTAAGAAGCAAACTCTAGTCTGTGAGTTTGGGGCCAGCCTCGACTACAGAGAAGCTCTGTCTCGAAAAACAAAACATAACAATAAAAGAAGCAAAACTCCATCCTATTCTTTAGTAGTTGGTGTTGTTGTATATGTGCCTATAGAGAACGAAGGTCAACACAGTTTATTTATTTATTCATTTGAGACTAGGATTCTCTGTGTAGTTCTGGCTGTTTTGGAACTTACTCTATAGATCAGACCAGCCTCGAACTCAGAGATCCCTTGGCCTGCCTCAGTCTCCGGAGTGCTGAGGTTAAAGGTGTGTGTCACCATGCTGGGTTGAGAGGTTTGTTTATTTTATGAATGTTTTACTTGCATGCATGTATGTGTATCATGTGTGTGCTGGTACCCTTGGAGGTCAGGAGAGGGCATGGAATACCCTAGAACTGGAATTACTGATGGTTATGAACCACTGTGTGGGTGCTGTGACCTGTCCTCTGGAGCAGCAGGTGTTCTTAGCCACTGGGCCATCTCTCCAGCCCTCCTTCACTTTGAGACAGGGTTTGTCACTGAATGAGCGCTTTGATTTGGCTTTACTAGGCCATCATGACTCCACAGTAGTACTTTACTGACTGAGCCATCTCCTAGTCCTTGTCCATCGTTTTCAATCAGGGCACCCAAGCTCATAGAGCTGAAATTATAAGTTCTTTGAATTTAGGACAACGGGTCATGGGAAAGGAAAAGTTTCACCTTGTTTTCTGTTACAAACTTATCTAGGCCTCTGTTATAAACTGGGCTTGTTTAGGAAACAAAGTACAGTTTTGATCTTTGCAATATAGACTTTTTAGGATGACTTAAGTTGGTATAGATAGTGAGTCTCAGGTATACTTCATTAGTTTTAAATAGTGACAATTGGGGCTAGAAAAATAGCCTGGTGATTAACAACACATATTGCTCTTGTAGAGGACCTGAGTTTGGTTCCCAGCATCCAAGTCAGGTGGCTTACAACTGCTTGTAACTTTAGCTCTAGGAGATCTGATGTCTTCTCCTGACCTTTACTCACATTGTGTATATACAAACACACTTATATATACAATTAAAAATAAAAATAGTGACAACTGCTATTTATTTAAAGGCTCAGACTTAAGCAGAGTTAAGAGAGGAATACAATTTTCTTTTTTTAAAAGATTTATTATGTATAAGAATTTTGCCTGCATGTATGCCTACAGGCCAGAAGAGGGCAGCAGATCTCATTATAGATGGTTGTGAGCCACCATGTGGTTGTAGGACTTGAACTCAGGACCCTTGGAAGAGCAGGCAGTGCTCTTAACTGCTGAGCTATCTCTCCAGCTCCTTATTTTCTTTTTTTTTTAAGATTTATTTTTATTTATGTGTTTTGCTTATATGTATGTTTGCGGAGTGCCTGGTACAGAGGAGGGTGCGTGTTAGACCACTTGGAGCTGAAATTATAGATGGTTGTGAGCCTGTATATGGGAATGGAATCCAGGTCCTCTGCAAGAAGAGCCAATGCTCTTAACCACTTAGCCATCTTTCCAGCTCTAAGACATCTCATTTTCATTACTTTTTTAATCTTGTAAATTGGTATATTGTTTCTAGAATTAACTTTGCAGTATCAAATTTGATGTTTCTTATACCTTTTGTTCTGGAATTCTATTTAGAATATTCTTATTCTGTTCCTCAGATGTAATCATATGTGTTCAAAGCTACATGTTTTATGTGACACTGTTAGTTATACTGAACAACTAGAAATAATGTAAGCTTCCACCATTTTGGAAAAACTTAAATTATGGCACATTAAATTATGAAGTACTATGAAGTACTAAAAAGAAGTCAATTAAAATTATAAGCCAGGCAGTGGCGGTGCACTCCTTTAGTCCTAGCACCCAGGAGGCAGAGGTGCACAGATCTCTGTGAGTTCAAGGCCAGCCTGGTCTACAGAGTGAGTGCCAGGACAGGCTCCAAAGCAATATAGGAAAAACAAAAAACAAACAAACAAAAAGCCAGGCAGCAGAGGTATACTACTTTAATTCCAGCATTTGGGAGGCAGAAACAGGTAGATCTCTGTGAATTTGAGGTCAGCTTGGTCTACAAAATGAATTCCTGGATAGCCAGGACTGTTATACAGATAAATCCTGTCTCAATAAATAAATATAAACAAAATGGTTAACGAAAGGGTGGTTTGGGGAGGAAAACAAAAGCTTTTCAGGTCTTTATGGTGGTACATCTTTGTAATCTCAGGAGGCTGAAGCCAGAGAATCTTAGGTTTGAACCTAGCCCGAGTTCCATAGCAAGTTTCAACTGGGCTGTTCTAGATATTAAAACTCAGTCTGAAACAAACAAAACTATTTACTACAGTTTTGAGTTTTTTAAAAAAAGAGAAGCATTTTATTTACATGTATAATGTAAAAAGAAAGAAAACATAACAACAATATACACTGAATACAGCAATAAAAATACTTCACTGGCAGCTTCTCTTGTTATTTTATTTTATATTTTTGTTTTTGTGACTCAGACTGCCCTAGAACTTACGATGTAGCTGAAGGTGGCTTCGAACTCAGGTAGGAACTTTAGGCACAGGCTATTTTAAAATCCACATAGCAATGCTGGGTGGCAGTGTTTCCAAACACAACTTAATATTCAGATTTAACATACAAAACATTTTGACATCTCCAATAAGGGAACTTAAATTAATTTAAAAAATGACCTTCCTGAATTACAAACTGAAAGTGTCACTAATAAAGTAGGAAATCAGGAAGGATAGATTGAAGTTGTTACTTCCTTTGAAATGAGTGTGGGTGGCCCCCTCTTTCGTTTCAGAGTTTGAAGACATGGCTTAAATGGCTCAAATTTCAATGACCTGTGAATTTGAAAAGCACTCAGTTTCAGAGTTAGGTAGGCTATAAAGGGTGGTGGTGGGAGAAAACATGTTGTCACTAGTTATACGCATTATATTAAACAGCTATTTCGTGCTTTACGTATAACCTCTTTTTGTTCATACTGGAGGAATAGGGCTTTCTGCCTGTTTTCTGCCTGAGAAATCTCGGAGATCACTAGTGTATTTTCGTCTGGAGAAACAATAACCCCTCGCGGAAGGATGAATGAAACTTGTAATACTGGCACTATAACGGCCATCCCATAGCTACGCAATGAAAAGTTTTGTGTATATTTAGTATTAGACTGTTGGGTGGAAAAGCACTCAGATTAAAACGAAGTACTTCAGTTCAGGGCAGTTTCATCTACCTAAATTCCTTTCCCCAACCACACCTATCCGGCCACTGCGGGTCTCGGCAGTTGACTTCCAGGGCCTGGGGGCGGGCCGGGCCCCCTCCGAAGCTACCGGTCGCTGCCCTCAGGTCCCGGAAGACCACTGCCCGAGCCTGCACTGTGGCCGTCGCGCCGGTCCCCCGCCGTGCCGCCATCAGAGTGGCCCGCCCGCCCGCCCGTCTGCCCGCAGGAATTCCTCCGGGCTTCAAATGTCCCCTGGGGGGTCCCGAGGCTTTACTCGCCACCACTGAGAAGTATTCAGGCCCCTGCGCCCGAGACCGGGAAGCCGGAAGGCCCGCGGGCTCGCGGCAGGGCGAGCCGCGAAGCGGGAAGCACAAGGCGCGCGTCCCCGCTAACGCGGGCGCGACGCAGGGAGCGGGGGCGCGCACGCGCGCCGAGCGGAGGGCGGGCGGGCGGGGCGAAGAGGCGAAGGCGGGAAGAGGGCGCCCTGGAGTCCAGCCGAGTCCGGGGAGGGCGTCGACGCCGAGGGGGCGTGGCCAGGCGAGGCGGGGACGCGCTCGCGGGCTGGGAAGGCGGGGGCGCGGCGCTGGCGAGAGCGTGCCTGGTCCCCGCCCCTGTTTCCCACTCTTCCTTCCACCTCCGACCGGCCGGAGCTGCGGAGCGGCTCCGCTCGCCGGTCCCCGGAGCCGCCGCCTGCTCCCTCCGCCCGCGGCGAGCCCGTCAATCCCCGCACAACGCGCTCCTCCATCTGGGCCATGGATGGGTAAGTGCCGGGTGGCCGCTCGGGGGTTGCGCTGGCCTCGTTTCCTTTCGGCGTCGCGTCCCGCCGAGGCCGGGGAGCAGGGCGCGGCGCCGGCTAGCGGAGGGGCGGCCCGGGGCCAAGCCCGACGGCAGGCGCCCGGGGGACTCGGGGTCGGTCCGCCGCAGTCTCCGCTTCCTGCGCGCGGCGCCCCCGTCACGTCCGCCCCTCGCAGCCTCGGGGCGCTCTCGGGAAGCGGAGACTAGCCGGGGCCGGGGTGCCGGGCCAGCCTCCCCACACTTCCTCTCAGAAAATGGTGCGCGACGCTGGCGGGGGCGGAGGCTGAGGCGGCCGCGGCGCTCGGGGAGTTGCTGTTTACCGGCGGGGTGGGGCGCGCGGCGGAGCTTTCCCCGGCGGCGGGCCCGGGCGAGCGGCGACAGCCGTCTGGGCGGCGACCGGGTCTCGAACCGCGGTCCCGTGCAGGTCTCGGGACAGGCGGGGTCTCCTGACTTGCTCTGTGAGATACGTTAACCTCTTCTAAACACCGAGCGTCTGCACTTTGTCACGGGGACGCTTCCTCTTCGTCCCCCACCCCCAAGAAACTTGGTGAATTCGCCGCGGGCGATGTGTCAGATATTGTGTAAGTGCAGTTTTCCGGGCTGTTTCAACTGCTCAGTTTAAATGGGGTCCGTGACTAAAAGGGAAAAAAATTTACAATCTCTTTATCCGAGTTGATAATTTCTCTTGGAACTGAGACGGGGCAGGAAGCATCTGATGTATTAGTGTTAATTGAAGGATTTCAAGAAATTGGGGGTCGTATAACAAACAGTATTGTTCATTAAGGTAAAAAATCCTTAACGTCTGTTAGAGATTCTACCTCCTTTTATTTATTTAATCCTTAGGCGTTCGAGTTGTTCGTTAGCCCCTCCCCCTGCCGACATCTGACAAGATTTCTGTAAAATGATGATAGAGCATGTAACTTGTTTGAAAAATAAAAGCCATTTAACAGGTTGCCGTGTATTTGACTTTTGCTTGCTACATACTTACATGAAGGCACTAGAATCTTTACAATAGTTTTTGCTCTCGTTAGGTTTCGTTTATTTCAGTTTCACAATATTGTGATATGGATTATCTCGTTTGAATGCAGATTGCACGTTGCAGCAGATATCAAAGTGCAATGCTAGATTTGAATTATGGTTGTGAGGTTCTTTAAAGGATTTTTATTTAGTGAAAGCTACGTTGTGAAAGCTTCTCCTTGAGCATTGACTTCTCTTTACCTGACTCGTTTTACGTGTGAAATCATTTCAGTGATTTATGCCATGATGCCCTTATGTCAGTCAGGAAGCGGCTGTGAAATTATCGCTTTCGGAACATTCGATTTCGGGTTTGGGGAAACAAGTTAGATTTTTGTGTGTGAGATTTACAGTTAAAGGGCTTGACTTCTGCTTCAGTGTGAAGCGCAGCGTCCCCTACTGCGCGCTCAGGGGTGGGGGGAGGGGGAGTAGGAATAACCAACCTTATTCAGCAAAGTGCTTCTCTGATCCAAAACATTAATTGCATAGGTTTTTAGTCATCATTTGCTACTTAGTACATCTTACTTGTTAAAAATTACCCTTTTATTTGACACACTAATAAGTTTCATTATATTTTATACATACATTTGTATCTTGGCACTTTGCTCATATTTACTCTTCCACTCTCACCTTTCTTGCTGATGATTTTTGAAGAACTTTGACATGTTTGTGGTATTAAAACTTAAGAAGGCAGTGATGTAGATAGAGGAGGTCAAATAGGAAAAATGTTTGCTTTTCCATCAGGACCAATAAAGATACTATTAAACATTTTTAAAAAAGTTTAGCATGTGGTCAGCAGAGACAGGAGGATCTCTTGAGTTTGAGAACATCTACAAGAACTAGTTCTAGGACAGGCTCCAAAGCTACACAGAGCTTTGTCTCGAAAAACAAAAAAAGAAAAATGAAAAGTTTAGCTTATCAGGTTTCAATTCCAGGAAAATGAATACAAGTTTTAGAACTCTAAAAGGGAAAATATATGGTTATTGTTTCAAACATTGAAAGTTATACCACTTGATGCATATACTACATATTTTCATATCTTTAGGAAATTATGATGGTGTTATTGACTAGTAAAATAATACAGAACTTAATTTGTAGCTTCTTTTAGCAAATATGGAGATAAAACTGCTAATAGAATCTGGGCAGTGGTGGCACAAGCCTTTAATCCCAGCACTCAGGAAACAGGCAGGCAGATCTCTGAGTTCGAGAAGCCTGGTGTCTACAGCATGGGTTCCAGTACAGCCTCCAAAGCTACACAGAGAAATCCTGTCTAGGAAAAAAAAAAAAAAAAAAAAAACAAAAAAACAAAAGAAAAAAAAAAAAAAAAAAACAAAAGAACGGAAAAAAAAAAAAAACCTGCTGAGTATGTAGAAAATGAATTTTGGTGTAGAATAACTTAGGGCTTTTTATACTTTGAATGTAGTGGATTATGCACTAGGCAAGTTTATTAAAATTCATTTTTCACAGCTTGATTAAAAAAAAGCCCATTTCTTTAATTCAGAGTAGTTAAAAAGGCAAACAAAAAACCACTAGCTGACATTTTTACTTTCTCCTCTCTCTGTCTCTCTTTCTCTCTCTCTCTGTGTGTGTTCATTTCCACCCAGGAGGAATACTTTTATACTCAAAACATAGTATTGATGTTTAACTTTTTAAAAAGCAAATCATACAATATATGTGGAATATGATGTTTGTATTCTAGCTATGGCAGACAGTCATAACAATAACATTATTTTGGTGAGTTTTTGTGCTGTAAGATGCAGGTTTCCTAGATGCCTTTCATGTCTATAAAATCCAAGCACAGGTTTTGTTTCATTTAAAGCTTCATGCTTTAATCACTCATCTCAGGCACTTAAAAGAATGAACTTTGGTGATTTTAGTTTTGGTTTGGATTTGTCAAAGTGAGATCAATAAACACATGTTCATTGTCTTGAAGGACAACTATGCTTTTCTGCACACTAGAGTAATTTTTTTCTTGCATTGAGGTGTTGAGGCTTTGCTTTTGAACTCTGCTGTTGCTACACTGTCCATTTTTTTTTAACTAACATTTCACAGTTCATTTTTTCATTATTATAATGCTTTTTCTTTTTCTTTAATCTTATCTGTCTTTTAAAACTTGTTCTCTAACTTTGTTTTCCATTTTCTCTTTTTACTTTTTCCATACAGTGTTGTTACAGATCTTATAGCAGTCGGTTTAAAGGTAGGACTCTTTTACTATCCTTTCATAATCATTTTTGTATTTTAATTTTGACACCTCCCCCAGTGGTGAATTAATTTCACCTGTTTGTGAAATTGTCTTTTGTTCTGTGTGTTGATAATCTTTTACCTTTAACGCTAAAATTAAGTAGACACATAGCTAATTTTGAATTTTATGTGCCTTTCAGGAGGAACTATAGTATTATATATCTAAAATTTAAAAGTATATGTAAAGTTTTACTTAACTGTCAGGATGGTATTTTTTGTTTGGTTTTGTTTTTGTAGTGAAAATAATCCTGGGCTCTGATTTACTTTTCTAATGAGTCCTTTTTTTTTTTTAAAGAAAAAAACATCTTTTGTGAGTGTATAACAAAACCTTTTTTGTAAGTGCCAACTATGTGTGTGCCATGTGCTTTATGTCTATTCTCACTGATCATTATAGCAGTCCTTCAATATAGGTAATCACTTATTTTGGAGATGAAAAAGCAAGTTGAGAAAGTTTGTTCAAGTGTGATGCTCTGTCGTTTAAATGCTTGTCTTCACTTTCTGTGCTCAAAGCCTTTTTTTTTTTTTTCATTACACCTCATTGCTAGCAATGAGACCTCTATGTAAAAGGTAACCATCTAGAGAATTCAGCATTTTGTAGTAATACTTTTTCCAAGTTACAATAACTTTTCCAAGTCTTTAGTTATACCATAATCTTCTCATTACTGTATTAAGGAAATAGAAATCAAGTAGACAGTGCTCCTCAATATGCAGCTTTTAAAATATAGTTGTCCTGGAGCTGCAGAGATTGCTCAGCTGTTTATGGGCTTACTGCTCTTGTAGATGACCAACCCAGGCTCTGTTTCTAACACCTGTATGTTGACTCACAACTACCTAACTTGAGTTGCAAGGGGGTCAGATGAACTTTTCTGATCTCTGAGTACACGTGTGTGCACATACATACCCAGGCACATACACATACATGACAATTTTTAAATAATAAAAGATAGCTCTTCATGTTTCCTTCAGTATTTCGCTGTTTGATACTGAGTTGGGAAATCTAGTTCAGTGGCCACAGTGCAGATTACTGTAGAAAGTAGAGTATTTAACCTTTCAACATATTTTAAAATAATCTAGGTTCATTTATATAGTTGTTTGATCACTTTCTAGTCATTTTGTCAAAGTAAGCACAAATCCCACCACTGTCTCCCTATTTCTATACATTTTGCTTGCCAGTTCCAAGTTTTTGTTTGTTTATACTTACTGGAGCTGATGGTAGCACTTAACAGTCTGTGACTTCTTAAGACATAAGCATAGCAAGAAGCAGCATTTAACACTAAGAATGGGATGTCTGAAACTAGCATAATTGGGATGCTTTTTTGTAATGTCTATTGGGGTTAGGTAGTTGATCTGCTTTGGGAAGCTTTGAATATGTTTATGAATAGGAAATAAAGGGAGGCAGCCTTTTCTGGAACTATCCCCTCCATATGTTGTCTCATTTGAGAATGATACTCAGAGATTAGAAATTAAATCCTCAATTGTGTGTCTGAAGCTGTCTGGGAGGATGGATATTTAAATTAATTGTTTTGATCTTTAACTATGTAATTTGTGGTTCTAGTTTTTTATCTGTCACATAAATAACAGCAGACATTTGAAAAACTTACCACTTAAAAGTTAAAGAATTATACTTGAAGGACCCATGCCTGTTTTATTATGGTGAAAACACATCACATCCATAGTTAAGTGAAAGAAAATTTAAATGTAATGCCTTGG